GCGTTCATGTATTTTTTGGGCTTTGGAGAGTAGGGCTGTCATGGAGGTGGGGGGTTTTTAGAGAGGGAGAAGAGGAAATCAGACGATCGTAGTCCGGCCATGAAAGCCGTAAAGATGACCTTCCGCCACCTGCAAGGCTTCGGTGTTGAAGCAGGTAACGAAACTGCGCAGGGACTCCCCCTCGGTCTGGCGGATGTTGAGGAGTTGGGTTGCCGGACGGCGTTGGCGCTGGGCTCTAATAAAATGGCTGAGGAAGGAGTCACTAAGATGCTGGAAAGTGGAGACGGAGTCTGCTGGTAACTGGTTAAACCACAGCCGAGCTGACCCCTTTAGTGTCACGGGGAAAACTCGACACATGATCTCGTTAGGGAATGCATAGAGGATCATAAGGGTTCTGTAGGTCTCCAAATGGTTGACTGGGTCCGTCGTACTATCAAAAGAGTTGATGGTGGGCATTTTGAACTTGGGGGGTATAAGTTTGTCCCGGATGGAGGCAACAAATGGTGAGTTTTCTGTGGTAAAGGGTTTATGCTGGATGTTCTATATGACCCTTTGGAGTTGGAGCTTCATGGCTCGGAGTTCTGCATCCCAGAGAGGGATGTTATCACCCTCCGGAAGGCAGCGGGGGTTGGACGCTACTGGCTTCCCCTTCAATGGCTGGTGCCAGGACTGATGGATGCGGGGGTCGGGGTGGTGGATTTATATTAGGAGAAGAAGGTTGAAGCCTTCTAGTTAGGTGGATAGGGCTACGGGATAGTATGGCTCGGGCCTCGTTCTTGGTTGGGCGGAATATCTGGAGGTGGTGGAGGAGGCATATGAAGGTTTCTTTGGAGTAGGGCATTTATCAGGGCTTGGTTTTGCTTGACCATGCGGTTAATGCTGTTGGTAAGCTAGATGAAATACTGTGGTAGGTTGTTTGGATTGGGGGGGTCGGCTTGGTGGTCTACAGCATTTTGATGAGAAGCCATGGATCTAATCATGACCATACACTTGATGGGTAGCAGGAAAGGGTTATTGGAACAAGGTCTCCGGCGACAATGAACCCTCCGACGAGCAACTTAGAAGAAGAGGAAGTGGGATGTATAGATATGAACTAGAGATAGAAAAGCTTAACCTTCTTCTTGTCTTCAACGTCTGCTTATATCCTTTGGTAATCATTTCGTTGTCCCTTCCGACCTGTCACCTTGGCCAAAAGTCTATGCTGTAGCCCACCTTGTTCAGGGTGAGGGCGTGCTATCCCGACGGAGAGGTATTGTCGTAATAAATGCTGTGAGGGGTTGCATTAATGGCGATGTGCAGTGGCAATAACTTTGCAGATCTTTGTCTACTGATGTGGCTTACCCTTTGCCTGCCACGTGTCTGAATATCATTGGTCCTTCATACCATGTTGACTTCCAGCTGTGCTGGCCTTTATCAGTTGGGTTATGTACTGGGCCCTAAGTGGTAAGCTTGAATTGTTCATAGTGGGTTATGGCGTTTATGGGCCTCCCCACGTCAAGGACAATAGTCCTTATAAGAAGAAGATAAAAATAAAAAAAATAAAAATAAAACCATAATAAGGAAGAAAATAAATTATACAAAGATCTCTAATAAGAAATAAAAAATAAAAAAAAAATCAATCTTTGACATTGGCATTCATTAACTCTAACCTCTCAGTTGATGGACAGTGTACAAGACTAACTGACTCAATTCATTAATTAGTCCATTTGATTGACTCAATTCATTTAGAATAATGTTAGAGGTCCCAAATATTCTATCAAAAGTTTTATTAAATGTCTTATATGGATATGAGACTCACACAATGTGGGTCCTATGTGGGTCCCACACTCATGTGAGACATTTGAAAAAACTATTAATAGAATTTTTGAAACCTCTAGCATTTTTGATTTATTTAACACCTTAGTAATATCGCTGGGGATTATGTTTGGAAACATGACAAATAAAACGTTAATACATTTTTTTTTATATATATATCCTTCTAAAAAAATTATAAAAAAAAAAAATCAATTCTCACACAATCTCGTTGAAATATACCACACAATAATTAGTGTGTTTGGTTTGAGTTTTTTGGATTAAATTTTTTAAAAATTGAGTTTTTTAATTTTCGTGTTTTTTTTGTTTTTAGTTAATATTTTTAAAATTTTAGATATTTTTTTTACTTTTTTAAATGCACCTTAGTTAGATGTATCTAAAAAGTAAAAAATTTGTGAAAAACTATTTTAAAAAATTAATAAATACATAAAAATATAAAATATGTACGAAATTCTCGTATTTTTTTTTATATTTTTGGTATTTAGTGAATTTTTAAAAGGTTTCTTTCACAAATTTTTTACTTTTTAAGTATATTTATGTTAGGTATGTTTAAAAAGTAAAAAAAAAATTGCTTAAAATATTAAAAAAATTCAATAAAAATAAAAAAATACAAAAAATAAAAAAATAAAATTTTTTAAAAAGAATTTTTAAAAAACTCCAACTAAGCATGCAGAATAGTTCTCAAGACAAAAATTTATTTAAAATTTTATGTTTTTTTTTTTAAAAAAAAAAATCCGGAATTACCTACTTCCAATTATTAATGTAGCAAATCGTATTTGCCAATCTAAAGATGTGACAAAGTCAAAAGTATACGTGAGCATATACGTAATAAGTGTAAAATTTTACAAAATGTGCAATTCCAAAATCATAATTCTTTACCCAAAAAAATAAAAGGGCAGTATATCACCTTTTCTGCACAGAATTGCTCCACTCTCCTACTCCAATACAATATTATATGCCCTATATATATATATATATATATATGTTAGTGAGCATTACTTATTTAAAATAAATAGGTGTTGTTTGGTAAGTTGATTTGTGGCTAAAATAGTCACAAAAGACAAAATATATTATTTTAATTATAACAAATAAAATATCACATCCAACTCATAATCATTACACTCTTCTCTCATAAAAAAAGTCAAAAAAGTCAAAAAGCCAAAAAATTCTTCACAAACCAAACTTTTTAACCCAATTTAAAATAGTCAAAAAAGTCAAAAAGCCAACCCACTTCCCAAACGGAGGCTAGTAAGGCTCTTTTCCTTCGCCCATTTGGCTTAGGTTCGAGTCTCGCTGCTAGGAATGGCAATTTGAAACCGACCCGACAGGGATCCCCGATCCCGACCCCGATTTAAGCGGTTTTTTCCCGAAAAATACCCTCGACGGGGAGGGGACGGTATTTGAAAATCAATTCCCAATCTGTTTCGGGCCGGGGACGGTGATCAGTGTTCAAGCCCCGGCCCCGTCCCCGTCCCCGGCCCCATCCCCGAATTTCCTCAAAATTAAATTACTTTTATACCCCTTATATATATATATAATAAATCAAACCCTAAACCCGTGCGTCACTCTCTCACTCTCACTCTCGTCCTTCTCTCTCTTTCTCTCTCTCTCAACTCTCGTCCTTCTCTCTCTCTCAACTCTCTCCCTCTCACAGCAGTAGCCTCTCGTTCTTCTATGTCTCTCACATCACAGCCACCGCCGATCTCACTCTCAACTATCACTCTCATCGACACTCTCCTTCACCGCTGCTGTGCTCTCTCACCGTAGATCGTCCCACTCTCTCTCACGCATACGACGCCAACGGCGACGGCTCATCCTCACTTTAGCACCGGCATCGCGGCTATAACTCACCGACGGCTCATCCTCGCCACAGCCTCTCACAGTCGACCTCAGCGCAGCCTCTCCCTGTACTCAGATCTTGAGATTTTCAGATTATGATGATGAATCTGTTAGATCTGTTAGATTATTTTTTTTTTAATTTAAATCTGTTGATTATTTTTTTAATTTAGATCTGTTAGGTTTTCAGATTATTTTTTTTTAATTTAAATCTGTTGATGATGATGATCTGATCTTGTTTGTTGTTGTTGAATATGAATCTGTGGTTGAAATTTTTTTGGGACTGAAATTTGAATCAGATTTTGGGCTGATTTTTTTTTTTTTTTGGTCAGGGAATGGGGAGTTTTTAGGGTCGAGGAAGCCCGATCCCTGTTAGGGGACGGGGGCGGGGCCGGTGATAGCTTCCCCGTCGGGGATCGGGGTCGGGGCCGGGGGAATTTCCATTGTCGGGGATCGGGGATGGGGAGGGCGATCCCCGGCCCCGCCCCGCCTCATTGCCATTCCTACTCGCTGCCGGCAGTCCTTTGTTGATGAGCGATCTTGCGTAACGCTTGCCCTAGCCCTGGAGTGGGGTAGCCTCCCCTTTTCCTAAACTTTTTGTTTACCAAAAAAATAAAATAAAATAAATTATCAATAAATGTCAATAATTATATTTAATTCATATCAACTCTATTAAAAATAATTCTTAAAAAAATCGTTGTTAAAAATAATTTTTTATGATAATTTTTGTATTTATGTTGTTAAAAATTAAAAATCAGTGATTTTATTTTGTCACGATATTTATAATTTGTCGTTAAAATTTACAATTAATAATATTTTCTTGTAACGAATTTTTCAAACTATCACTGAAAGTTAAAAATTAGTGACTTTTTGTAATAATTTTTTTAAACTGTCACTAAAATTTATAATTAATGATATTTTTTTATGACAAAATTTTTAAATTATAGTTGAAAATTAATCATTAGTAACATTTTTTTAATAATATTTGATAAAAAAGTCATTAATTATCATAAAATATATTAGATCATAAGTATTAGGACCTACACATAAATCTTCCTACCATTTTAAGTTTAAAAGTTAGACTCACTTTTCAAGTTTAATAATGTAACAATTAATTAAAATATCTAAGATAATATTCTCTCATATTTTTTTAATTATCAATTAATTATATCATTAATATATTTTAAAAAATAAATTCAAAAAGTGAATCTAAAAAATAATGTAAAAATTAAATTTATATATTATTTTCCTATATTAACACAAAAATATAGAGAGAGGGAGATAAAGTTAGAGAGAGAAACACTAGAAATATATGGAGAGAGAGAGAGAGAGAGAGAGGGGTTAGGTGTGAGATTGACCGAACCACCTCCTCACACGTACATCATCCTCTCCCAGTCTTCTCTACTCCTTCCTCTTCGTTCCTTTCTCTTTCTCTCTCTCACCATTATAAAACCCTCAACCCCCATACTCTTTCTCTCAGCTTGGCAGTTCCCTTCTCAGAGAACAACAAGCTTTAACCCCAAAAAAAAAAAAAATTAGAGAAATTAAAATTAAAAAAAAAAAAAACTCTTCAATCCTCAACCCAATTCCTCAATCTTCTTAGTAATTCCAGTTGAATCCCAAAAACAAAACCAAAAAAAAAATGCAGTGTCTCTCACCTCCGAGCATTAGTCTCAAATCCATTATTGGGACAAGAACGCTCAGTCCCACCAACCGAGTAGCTCCGAGTCGACTCGTTGTCCAATGCGTTTACCGATTTGACTCGGCCAACGCGGCCGCCAACTCTGCCAACTCCAACTTCTGCGGCGGTGTGGGTTGTAATCGAGCCGACTGGCAGAGCTCGTGCGCCATTTTAGCGAGCAAGGTGGTGTCGCAGCAGCAAGACACCACCGTGAAGAGCGGCAACGCCGACAACATCACCGCCGTTAATGGCCACCAAACCCTAGATCTCGTCCCCATCGAGAACCTCCCGAAGCCACTCACCATCACAGATCTCTCTCCGGCTCCGATGCACGGCGCCGACCTCCGCGTCGCCTATCAGGGAGTCCCCGGAGCTTACAGTGAAGCCGCCGCCGGCAAAGCCTATCCGAACTGCGAAGCCATACCTTGCGACCAGTTCGAAGTCGCATTCCAAGCCGTCGAGCTCTGGATCGCCGATCGCGCCGTCTTACCAGTCGAAAACTCCCTCGGCGGTAGCATCCACCGGAACTACGATCTCCTCCTCCGCCACCGACTCCACATCGTCGGCGAAGTCCAGTTCCCCGTCCACCACTGCCTTCTGGCCCTCCCAGGCGTCCGAAAAGAGTACCTAACTCGCGTCATTAGCCATCCTCAGGCCTTGGCTCAGTGCGAACTCACTCTCACCAAACTCGGCCTCAACGTCGCTCGCGAGGCCGTCGACGACACCGCCGGCGCGGCGGAATTCGTCGCCACCAACAACCTCCGCGACACCGCCGCGATCGCCTCCGCACGCGCCGCCGACCTGTACGGGATGCAAATCCTGGCCGACGGAATCCAAGACGACCCGAGCAACGTCACGAGATTCGTGATGCTGGCTCGAGATCCGATCATACCGAGAACAGACCGACCTTTCAAAACGAGTATAGTGTTCGCACACGACAAAGGCACATCGGTGCTCTTTAAGGTGCTATCGGCTTTCGCGTTTCGGAATATTAGCTTGACGAAGATCGAGAGTCGGCCTCACCGGAACAGGCCAATTCGGCTCGTCGATGATGCGAATGTTGGGACAGCGAAGCATTTCGAGTACATGTTCTATGTGGATTTCGAAGCTTCCATGGCGGAGGTGAGAGCTCAGAACGCCCTCGCGGAGGTTCAGGAGTTCACTTCCTTCTTGCGGGTGTTGGGGAGCTATCCCATGGACATGACTCCTTGGTGCCCGTCTGGGGGAGATTAGCAAAACCCATTGTCCCTCTATTTTTTTTTTTAATTTTAATTTTAATTTTGAATTTTTTTTTTTTAGAATTATATATATTTATGTTCTGAATCTTTAATTCATCTGCGGATCGAGAGACAAGCAAAAATTGTTGTTATTGTTGTTGTTGGGGGGTAAATATATATATATATATATATAAATATGTAGGTTGATGATGTTAAATTTGGGCCTTATTTACATGTGAGGTTGTGAATATCATTATCATCCAAATTGTATTCTTCATGCTTGAGACAACGAAGAAATGAACAAGAACAAATTTAGAATATTCCTCGTGTTTTTTGATTTTTAGTTTGCATAATATTTAGGCTTCGTTTGGCCAGACCTAAATGGGGTTTTTTTTGCTTATTTTAGTCACAAAAGACGAAATAGACTATTTCAACCACAAAAAATAAAATATCACATTTAACCTATAATCATTACATTCTTCTCTTATAAAAAAAATTTTAAAAAGTCAAAAAATTCTTTCCAAATCAAACTTTTTAGCACAGATTAAAATAGTCAAAAAAGTTAAAAAAAGTTAAAAAGCCAACTTAATTTTCAAACGGATTTATGTTATTGTTCTCTCTCTCTTTTTTTATTCTTTTTTTTTTTTGGATACATTATTATTTGGTTTTTAATTTTATAAATTTATTTCAATGACTAGCCTTTGTTTGAAAAGAATATTTTTAGCTTGATTTTTTGACTTTGACTTGTTAGCAGGGCTTAAAAAAAATTGTTTGGGAATAACTTTTAATTTTTTTGTAATTTTGCAAGAAAAAATATTAAATAATTATGTTTTAAATATAGTATTTTATTTTCTTAACTTTTTAATTTATTTTATGTTTTAGTGGCTAATTTTGCCACTTTAGCTCTTCCAAATGACACTGATGGTGTTTGGGAAGTGAGTTTTTATGTAGATTTTAGTAGATGTAGGTTTTTATGAGATAAAAAATTTTTGGTGTTTGGGAAGATAGTTGGGTTTTTATGTGGTTGGATGTGATGTTTGTGAGAGAAAAAGTGAAATGATTATGGGGTTGGATGTGATATTTTGTTTGTATGTGTTTTTTTTGGTTTTGCAAAATTTTTGTCTTTTAGTGGAAAAAATGAGAAAAAAATTTGGGAAGTTGCTTCCCAAACACCACCACTTATATGCCTAATTGGTTCACCAAGAGCTGCAAGTCACAAAGTTTGTTGTTAATTCTTAATTTTTGTTAAGCTAATGCTTATTTTATTCCACATTTTCTATGTATCTGTTCAACTAATATGTTAGAAGATTTTTTAACTAGTCCAAAGTTGATATTATATAGAGTAATGATACATAATTTTAATTTAAGAACTCTAAATATAACTCTAATGAGTTGGTAAGTGCCACATAATTCAAAAATACCAATAGAAAGTAACAATAATTACATATGAGCTAGTGCCACATAATTACAGCTCTTTTACGCTGTGTTTGGTTGGGAGATTTGTGAAGGGAAATAGAAAGGGAAATGGAAATGAAAGGAAAAGGAGAAAGAATTAATAGAATTCCAAATCCCAACTATGTTTGGTTGTGTTGGTTATAAAATAGAATTGATGTCCTAAAAGGTATCCTATTTCTTTATTTATTTCTCACCCCCTTTCTTTTCCCATATATTTTTTATTATAACCAAACATAAATGGGATTACATTTCTCATTCCTTTTCCAAATCCCACCTCAAAAACTCCAACCAAACACAGCATTAGAGCTCTTGTTTCAGAGCTACCTAACATTTTTATATTATATATTGGGCCCATTTGATTATAGATTATAGTTTACAGTTGTGAGCATAAGCTGGTAACCTGTTTAGTGCAGCTGTGAGATTATGGATTTAAGCAACAGAGTAGTGTTTGGTAAATAAGTTATAAAATAATTTTTTGCTATGTAATTATCATTTTTGCCATTATGAACATAAAAATTGTAATTCTTTTTCTTTTTGTTTTCTTCTCTCCTTTCTTTTTCTTTTTTTCTCTCTTCTTTCTTTTTGTTAATTTTGTTTAATTTATTAATTCATTACAATTAATATCAATTAATATCCATGTATTTATATTAATGTTGTGATGTCGTTACATATTATTTTTCTTTATATTAATTTCAATTAGTTATTTATAATATTCATTTTTTTATTTCATTTAATATAAGTTATTTCACTTTGTATTTCATTTTTTTTTTCAATTTTATTTTATTTTTAAATTGCGATTCGGTTTTCATTAAATTTTTTTTTCATTGCAATTAACAATATAACAATTGTCATTATAATTAGTATTAATTAGTATCAATTAATGTAAAAATTGATACATTTGATAAAATTATTTCATTATAAATTAATTAGTGTCAATTAATGGCTTATTTTCATTTGTTCATTATAAATTATTTTTTTCATTTTTTCATTATAAATCAATTAGTATAAAATTATTTCATTATAAATTAATTAGTGGCAATTAATGGCTTTTTGTAATCAATTAATACTAAAATTATTAATTAGTATTAATTAATATAAAAATGCTGAAATTAATACTAAAAATACTAAAATTATTAATTTTTGTAATCAATCAATTTTAATAATTAATATTAAAATTATTAACAATAATGGCTTAATTATTATTATTATTAACAAAAAAAAAGTGAAAATCCTAGTCAGTAGGAACGACGGCTCTGGTTCACTGGAAAGGGATGGGAGATGGGGGACGACGATGAAGGTACAACGGCGACGTGGCGATCGCGATTGCGATCACAGAGAGAGAGAGAGAGAGAGAGATCTGCCGCGAACAACGCCGAAGAGAGAGATCTGCCGCGATCGCGAACACACACGCACAACCACTTGCCGCGATTGCGAACACACACGCACAACCACTTCAAACACACAAATATGTACATACACACACATATAATGATATATAACAAATCTGATCTTTGAGATCGAAGGAGACCACACAGATTTGAAATCTATGTAGATTTGAGGCGACATTTCCACCCTCTGAACCCCAAATCGACAACGACAAACCCTAGGTACAGCGCCATGGATGTAGCAGAGAGAGAGAGAGAGAGATCTGGTTTGCCAAAAATCACTCGAAATCACCAGATAGCTTTGTGCAAGAGACAAAAATAAGAGTGTTTTGATTTATATACATGGTACACTTGTAATAACTTAAAATTGTGAGGGACATTTAAGTCATTTTGCCCTTCAAATTGTAGCTGCCCGGTTAAGTTGATTGGAAAAGCTACTTCTTTCCCATTCAAAGAAAAAACTGATTTTTAACTTTAAAAAAGTTATAATCTGCATTATTAAGTTGAACCAAACACACCAAAATTGTTTAAATTAAGTTAAAAGCTGAAAATAAGTCCTACCAAACAGGGCCATTGTAATTTGGTTGTCCTTTCATTATCTTTTATTCTAAATAATTGGTTAATTCCATTATTTTACGTTTGCTTTATTTGCATTTCATAATCTCTTTTGATTAATTTGGTGGTTTTTATTTTATGAAAATTTCAAGAGCACGTAATTTGCTGTGATTATTTCTCAACCAATTTTCATTTTTTTAGTCAAAATTTTCATCTGCTATATTTTTAAAAATTTGTATACATAAATGGGTTTCAGAAAATTTCCATGAACTCTGGATAAATTTTCAAAAACTTATTTAATTAAGACTTCGTTTGGGGACTTACCTTTTTAGTCAACAAATTATCTCTTTAGTCAAAAAGTCAACAACTCATACAAAAAAATCAAAGATTCTCTTTTCTCTCTACTTTTTGCACATTTTTTCGTAATTAGTCAAAAAGTCATCCCAAATATATAAATTTATTTTACTTACTTTTTTAGTCAAATAAGTAAAAAATTACTAAATTAGTCTGATCTCAAAGGAAGCTAAGTCGTGAAATTCATTGGATTAATAGAATAAAATAAAGTGGATGCAATTAAAGCAATTTCGTACACGCATGTATGTATTACAATTACTTGTAGGACAGCCCCACCATGTTGATTTCAGTATTGGATTCTCTCCTGTCTTTTGGTGCCCATCTCTTTTATGGCACTTCTTGTTTAATGTGCTCCTAACTCCACATGTTTATATATATATATATATATATATTATATAAAATTAAATATATAGAATAATCTCTTTTAATTTAAGGGTCTTACACATAAATTTAAATAAAAATACTTTAGACTACTAATTAGTAATAGCTTTAATGATGTGGCACATGTGTTTTGTGCCTTGTTTTTTTTTTTCTTTTTTTTTTCAATTGCCACCTCACTAGTGGTGGTATTAGTGATGGTAAATTAGTGGTCTATAGCGTTGTTCAAATTTAAAATGTCTATACTACATATAAGTAACTGCAACGAAATTTGTCATATAATATTGTGGGGGTGTTTTGGAAAGGGGGAAAAAAAAAAAAAAGGCTAGTATTTAGCTTTTTATTCATTTTGGATCATATCACTTCACACATTTTTTATCCACAAAAAGAAAAAATAAATTAAAAAATTAACTTTTTACCAACTTCTCAAAACACAACTGTGAGTTTTGATTGATAGATGGCCAGGTTTTGTTTGCCTTTTAGAAAAATATTTTAGAATTTTTTTTAAAAAAAATACTAAAAGTTAGTTTCATAAAAAATTTAAAAAAATCAAAAGATCTTATCATTTTTATGTAATTTTATTTTTTTAGAGGGCATAAATAATTTTTTAAAATTTAAAAATATATTTTGGGAAAATATCAGTTCAGAGTAGATGTATACAAATATTTTTAAATTAATGAAAAATTTTACATAAATTTATAAAATCATAAGTTTTTTCATTAATTAGTAATTAATTTTTTTAGAAGACCACTGCATTGTGATTATTTCATATATTTTTTATGCTTATTTTTTTCAATCTAATTTCTATTTTTTTTAAAAAAAAGAAATTCAGAAAATAGTTTAAGAAACTCAAATCGAACATGGCTTCACGAGTGTGGATTAATTAAGAAATTTAGTTGTACAAAATTAAATTATAAATAGAGATAAAAGATGGGTCCCAATCATAAAATAGTTGTTATTCTATCATATAATTTATTTTGCAAATACCATATATAGTAAATCAAGAATTATTGTTCTTGACATTATAAATATTTCATATCTTGGGTTGGGGTTAGGCTGTAAGAAAATGACATCTTATTATGATTTTTGTCTTGCTTCAAGGATGTGTTCCTTGTGTCTTCTTCAATCTTTTCTGTTGGCCTCAATCA